AAACAAAACAAAACAAAATAAAACACTACGAAGTAGTTCCAAGTGGTTTTTTTTTTTTTTTTTTTTGCTTTTTGGGTCACACCTGATGATGCACAGGGGTTAACTCCTGGCTCTGCACTCAGGAGTTACTCCTGGCAGTGCTCAGGGGACCATATGGGATGCTGGGAATCGAACCCAGGTCAGCCTCATGCAAGGCAAACGCCCTACCCGCTGTGCTACCGCTCCAGCTCCAGTTCTAGGTGCTCTTTAAGCATCGACTCGTGTCTGTACGGGTTCCTGGGCTATATCTGGTGGTGTCTCTGGGTCATAGCTGGAGGGAAGCCATGTGGTTCTGCGACTCGAACCTGAGCTCCTGAATGCAAAGTCTGTGTTTCGGCCCTTTGAGGTGTCTGCTGGTCCTTACTAAGCATTGCCCATTTGGGGGGTGGGCCTCCCAAAGCATCGTTCTGGGGGTTTGGGGAACTTTTCTGGCAATTCTCAACCCATACCGAGACCTCAGGAGTTAGAGTTGCTCAGTTCCGTGGTGTCAGGTATCATTAGGGTCCCAGCCAGCAGTGCTCAAGGGCCAGTCCTAACAGAGATGTGGCTTACTGGTAGAACCCAGAGGGCAGGGGTGACTCAAGGGCTGGAGCACAGGCTTTGCACGTGGGGACTTTGGTTTTGACCCCTGGCACCATCTGATGCCCCAAGAACCACTGGGTGTATCCCTGATCGTCTCTGGACTGATAGGAGAGAGCCTGGGTCCTCAGCACCAAGGGAGGGCTCCTGTAAAATAAAATCCTAATATAAATTATAGGGGGCTGGAGCGATAGCACAGCGGTAGGGCGTTTGCCTTGCATGCAGCCAACATGGCCGACCCGAGTTTGATTCCTTCGCCCCTCTCGGAGAGCCCGACAAGCTACCGAGAGTATCTCGCACACAGCAGAGCCTGGCAAGCTCCCCGTGACGTACTCGATATGCCAGACACAGTAACAACAAAGTCTCCAATGGAGACGTTACTGGGCCCGCTCGAGCAAATCGATGATCAACGGGAGGGCCTTATTTTATTATATGAATTATAGGAGACGGGTAATATTGCCTAGTTAGTTCGAATAATGATGAAAATCTGGGGCTTCTCCAGGTTTGCACAGCTCAGACCCAGGGCAGTGATGGTTCAGCTCTGGGTCTCTTGCACCTGGGCTTCCAATCACCCACAGACCCCCGAGAGTCGAGTAACACTCCATTGGGAGAATCTTAGCTACTGTCTAAGCTGGAGAATCCTAAGGCAATCATGCCCATCCTCTCTCCCTCTTCCTCCACCCTCTCTTCTCTCTTTGGGTATCGAACCCAGGTCCCCCATCTGTCAGGAAGACACTCTACCTCTGAGCCAGCTCCCTGGCCCCATCCCTGCCCCCTTGATGGACGAGAAACTGGAGGCAGAGAATCGGACCAGGAGGGGAATAGACTGTCCACGGGGAGTCAGCCTCCCGTCTGCTCCTGTGCTCTGTCCACTCCATCTCAGCACGGCCAGGAAGCTTGTTACTACTTCCAGTCCCGGCAGACTTAATGTCAGAACTGCAAGCTTCCCCATGGGGGAGAGAGACCCATTAAACCAGGAAATTCCCCTAAAACTCTGCAAGCTTCCCCATGGGAGAGAGAGACCCATTAAACCAGGAAATGCCCCTAAAACTATGCAAGCTTCCCCATGGGAGAGAGAGACCCATTAAACCAGGAAATGCCCCTAAAACTCTGCAAGCTTCCTCATGGGGGGAGAGAGACCCATTAAACTAGGGAATGCTCCTAAAACTCTGTGACTGAGCTCAGAGTCCGGTGTCCAGGCAGGCGAGTGCCTTTGGGTATGTCCATAGAGCAGAGTGTGGAGATCAGGAGTGAGAGCTGGATTTCGGGTTGGAGAAGATGTCCAACCCCAGCTGAATCTGACAGAGAAGATGAGACATCCTTGGAAACTTAGGAACCCACCAGAAAAGCAGCCGGAGGAGGAAAACAATTGATTGCCCCAGTTAGGGCCCTCCGGGTTATGTAAGTTTCCCTTCAATTACAAGCCCTCTTTAGACTCTCACTTAGGGGGTCTTTGGGAATTTGGACTCCCTAGTTCACAGTGGCCCCGTATGCATGCTCTCTCTCTCTCTCTCTCTCTCTCATCTCCTGTAGAGAAGACATTCATCTCTCACTCATTTGCTCAGTGCCTCATTTTGCGGGGGAAGGGTCCCCTGTGAGAACTGTGGGCATTTGAACCCTTTTCTCGTTTTCCCTAGTCTTTGCAAAGAAGAGCATTTAAGGGGTGCAGCTAATGGTCACAAAGCGGTCTGCCCTGTTGAGCTAGTGGCAAAACTGAAAACGGTCTCCTCCCTTCAACACCAGGGGTTGCTGATCTGAGCATCACATCTCGACAAAAACCCCCAAATTCTCCACACCACTCCCTTTTCATGCTGAAAATCACTGCCTACTTTCCTCTCTCACCCTCTCTTCATGCAGAGCCCACTCAGCCTTTTGATAAAATATCCATCCATATCAAAGGGGAATTATTATTACTATTATTTTGCTTTTTGAGTCACACCCGGCCATGCACAGAGGCTACTCCTGGCTCTGCACTCAGGAATTACTCTTGGAGGTTCCTGGGGAAACATTTGGGGTGCCCAGAATCAAACCCAGGTTGATTGCATGCAAGGCGAGCGTCCTACCCATGGGTTCCAGCCCAAGTCTTCCTTTCGACAGAGAGATGAGAAACTTGAGGGTCACATTCTCCTCCAAACCTGATGGAAATTCAAGCCTGCATGGTCTTGCCCACCAGCTGGCAATCAGCTTCCCCATATGCCCATCATGGGTCCTACTGGGGCAATGCCTGAAGATGTCCCATTGCATGTCCACTGTCCCCAGTACCCCAGTGCTCTGCTGACAGCTAGACCACCATTCCCCACAGCCCCTTTAGGCATTTGTGCAAGATTCATGCTTCTTTGTTTCTTTTATTTATTATTATTATTAATTATTATTATTATTATTATTATTTTGGAGCTGGAGCGATAGCACAGCGGTAGGGCGTTTGCTTTGCAAGCCGCCGGCTGGCTGAGTCGGGTTCGATTCCTCTGCCCCTCTTGGAGAGCCTGGCAAGCAACCGAGAGTATCTCGCCCGCACGGCAGAGCCTGGCAAGCTCCCCGTGACGTATTCCATATGCCAAACACAATAACAACAAGTCTCACAATGGAGACGTTACTGGCCCGCTTGAGCAAATCAATGAACAACGGGAGGACAGTGCTACAGTGCTATTATTATTTAAATTAAAGAACTGTGGTGTGTAAAGTGATTGACATTTGAGTTTTAGGCATACAAAATTTTATTTATTTTTGCTTTATTTTATTTATTTTTTGGGTCACACCCGGCGGTGCACAGGAGCTATTCCTGTCTTTTCACTCAGGAGTTACTCCTGGAGGTGCTTGGGGGACCATATGGAATGCTGGGAATCGAACCCGGGTTGGGCGCGTGCAAGGCTAACACCCGCTATGCTATCGCTCCAGTCCCAAGGCATATAATATTTTAGCGCCAACCCCAACACCACAGTCAGTTTCCCTCCACCAGTGTTCCCATATTCCCTCCCTGCTCCAACTTTCACCCCATCCCCACCTGCCACCTTGACAATCACGTTACAAAGTTCCAGTGGTTGCAGCTTAGATCTCATGTTTTGGGTGTTGTTGAGTCTGGGCTTTGGATCTGTGGTTGCACCACTCTTCGACATCACGGGCATAACTGAAGCCCCGATGCCTGTTCACCCATTAGTTCCCATCCTCCCCCCGCCCCACCCAATTTCTTTCCTTGTCTGTCCTCCTCTCTAAACACCACCCACGTTTCCAAAGGGCTCCCCGTGGCTCCCAGCCGCGGTGACAGTATCTGCCTGTGTTAGGGGTGTGCATCCCGCCCTCAGGCCCCTTTCCCAACTCCAGGATGATGTCCCTGTGCGGGTGTGGCACAGACCACTTCCTGGAGGCTTCCTTCTCCCTCTGCTCTCTCTTCTGGAAGCCGTGGGCTCTCCTGGCAGGCTGGGGGCTCTGGAGTCAAGAGCATGGATAATCCGGTGATGAGGAAGCGATGGGGTTTGTTGGGCCATAATTTATAATGCTAAGTTTGTATAATTTAATTTTTAGTAATGGCTGTGTTGAATGGCTGACTGGCAAAATTCCTGAAAATGGTTCCAATCTGCCCCTGCTCAGCCAGCAGCACCCGGCACAGTCCCCCCTCAGCCTCCCCCACAGAGAGTGGACTCGGGGAGCAGAAGGGCTCACTGTGTTCCTGGAAAGCTGCCCTTCAGGCATTAGGGCATTTATGGGGGTCATCCTTAGTCCGGGTGTTTTAGGGGTCAGGGAGATGAAGAAACAGCAGATGTTGCAACAGTGGGGATGGGGTGGTCCTGAGCGCGGGGAGGAAGGGGGGCATTGGTGCGGCCGACTCCCTGCTCGCCACTGCATCGCCCCGGGAGGCAGAGGCGCAGACCTTAGGGTTCCCAAGGGACAGCGGCGCCGTCCACTCCGGGGCGCAACCGCGGGGGCCGAACGCAACCCGAGATGATCCGCGCGCTGCTTCTCCGGCCAGCCCACGCCTCCTGCTCCACGCCACTCCCTCCCCGCAGAGTGGCTCTCCGGCGCGGGGGCGGGACGAGTTCTTGGTGGCCCCTGGAGGCGCAGGGCTGCAAGCCGGGGGAGGCTGGGAGGGAGGAGAGGGAGGGGCGCCGACGGGGCCGGCCGTCCAAGAGGAGGGGGCCTTTAATAGGCTCGCCCAGCGCCGGCTCTGCAGCGCGGCGGCCAGCGGCTGTGGTCGGGAGCCGCGGCCGGCACCTCCCTCGGCTTCCCGGCCGCAGCTCTGGGTCCTTGCACTTGACAGCGCTCGCCCTGCAGCTCCCGGGCGGGCGCGCGGGGCCGGGACCGGCACAGGTAGGGGGAGGCGCGGGCCGGCCGCACGCTCAGCGCCCCGGGGAGTCGCTCCGGCTCCGCTCGGAGCCGCGGGGTGCGCGTGTGCCGGCGGCCAGGAGACCGCGCGGGCCAGCGCGGAGCCCGGCCGAGCCCCGCGCCGCACCGCCCGGAGCCATGTTCCTGCTGGGCATCCTGACCCTGGCCCTCGCCGGGGTCCCCCCGGCCGGCGGCTCCGAGCCGGAGCAGGAGGTGGTGGTCCCCATCCGGCTGGACCCGGACATCAACGGCCGCCACTACTACCGGCCGGGTCCCGAGGACGCCGGGGACCAGGGTCTCATTTTTCAGATCACGGCCTTCCAGGAGGACTTTTACCTGCACCTGGCGCCCGATGCCCAGTTCCTGGCGCCCGCCTTCGCCACGGAGCACCTGGGCGGCCCCCTGCAGGGGCTGCTGGGGAACTCGCTCGACTTGCGGCGCTGCTTCTACTCGGGGGACGTGAACGCCGAGCCCGACTCGTTCGCCGCCGTGAGTCTGTGCGGGGGGCTGCGCGGGGCCTTCGGCTACCGAGGCGCCGAGTATGTCATCCGCCCGCTGCCCAACGCCAGCGCGCCCGGGGCGCAGCGCAACGGCCAGGGCGCGCACCTCCTGCGGCGCAGGGGCGCCCCCGGCGGGCCTCCCGGAGATCCCACGTCGCGCTGCGGGGTGGCCTCGGGCTGGAACCCCGCCATCCTGCGGGCACTGGACCCCTACAAGCCTCGGCGCCCCGGCTTAGGGGAGAGCGGCAGCTGGCGCCGCTCGGGGCGCGCCAAGCGCTTCGTGTCCATCCCGCGGTACGTGGAGACGCTGGTGGTGGCCGACGAGTCCATGGTCAAGTTCCACGGCGCCGACTTGGAGCACTATCTGCTGACGCTGCTGGCCACGGCGGCGCGGCTCTACCGCCACCCCAGCATCCTCAACCCCATCAACATCGTCGTGGTCAAGGTGCTGCTTCTCCGAGACCGCGACACGGGGCCCAAGGTCACCGGCAACGCGGCCTTGACGCTGCGCAACTTCTGCGCCTGGCAGAAGAAGCTGAACAAAGTCAGCGACAAGCACCCCGAGTACTGGGACACGGCCATCCTCTTCACTAGGCAGGTGAGTGTGAGCCGGGGTCACCTCTCTGGGTCCAGGGAATCCCGGTTTCTAAGGGGTCACCGCCCTTCGGGGTCCAGGTCTCCCCCGTGCCACGCCGTGGCCCCCGACTTGAGAATTCGAGTCCTCTTTGGACCCTGCCCACTTTGGCTCTTTCAGGGAGCGCCCGGCTCCCAGGCCCCACATCCCAGGGGATGCCGGTGCGTCTGGACGCACGTGGCCAGGCGGAATCGCTTGGAAGGGGCCGGCCTGGCGTGGCCAATCAGAGCCTCCTCGCCGGGCTCCAAGGGGCTGGACCCCCGCAAGTTGCCGCCCCAGCCGTAGTTTGCCTCCAGGGTCCATAGGAGGCGCTATCGGCAGTGATCCTGAGGATGGTGTCGCCGAGGGCGGGGAAGGACGTCCTGGAGAGCAGCGGGGTGGCGCCTCTTGGATTTCTTTGCTGGTCGAACAGCAACGCCACCCCCCAAGTGACCCAGTTCAGCTCCCGGTTACATGTCTTATGGGTAGCGTGTCGTTTTGTTATTCTTTCTCTGTCCCCAGTTTGGAAGACCTGGGAGGGAAGAAACCCTTTGGGAGCTGGTGGGGAACAGAAGAAAACACTCAGGACATATCCCCCTTCCCCCCCAAACTTTGCTTCTCCTCTTCTCACTCTGTGCTGGGCCAGCCGCTATTTCAGGGCCGAGAGCCGGCAGTCTGCCTAGTGCACTTGCTGGGAGCTTCTAGCGGAGTTTCGCTTGTGTCTTTACTTGGATGGGAAAATCTGCCTCGGTTTTCCCACAGCCTTGGTGGCCGGAGGTGACCCTGTGCTGAGCTCCTGAGCAGAGCCGGCACAGTTGCTCCCAGCCTGAGTCACTGCTGAGCTTCCACCAACCCCAGGGGGACTGTCAGCCTCCGGCCCTGGCCCCTGGCAGTGTGGAGGTGTGAGCGTAGTGGCCAGGATCAGCAGATTCGAATGGTGGAGTTGGAGAGATACCAAGCACCGGGATCAAAACACAGTCAGCGGGGCTGGAGAGAGCACAGAGGCTGTGCATGCGGCTGGCCAGGGTTCAAGCCCAGTTCCCCAAGCACTGCCAGCAGCGATCCTGAGCATAGAGCCAGGAGTAAGCCCCGAGCACTGCTGGGTATGGCCCCAAACCAGAAAGCAAACAAAAACCCCAACAACTCCCCCAACACCAACCCCACCATAGATTCCTCCCCCACAAACAAACAAACTAACAAAAATTAGGGACTAGAGTGATTGCACAAAAGAGTATAGGGTGTGTGTTTTGTATGCAGGAGACCTGAGTTCAATCCTGGACACAATATGGTCCACCGAATAGTACCCACCCCCCAACCCCCCAATTAAAAAAAAAAAGAAAAAAAAAAAGAAAAACCAGATCAGAAAACCATCACTACTGTTTGGAGAAGTGATAGTTCAGCCCCGATAAGCCCTGGAATGCTGCAAATTTAGATTCATAGAGGCTGGCACGCTGAGGTCCTGGGAAGTTTCTGGATTCCCAACGTGGCTCAGACTCCAGAGACGGGGCGGAGAAGGGGCACGCTCGTGATGGTGATGCAAGTCTCCAGCCTGGAGTCTGGGCGGTGCTCATACTGGTCGCAGGAGCTCAGCCTCTGGGACTGGCGTGGGGTCCTTGGCTACCTGCGTGGCTCCAACCTCCTTGTCTCCTGAGCTTGAATGGGGTGGGGGCGGGCGCCTTCCACACTGACCCATTTGGCTCCGCCAGCCCCTTCCTGGAGCTGCTTCTCTCCTTTCCCAGCCTTCTCTCCTCCCACCACCTGGTTCCTCTAGGGAAGTCCTTGGCCCGAGTCTGTTTTCTTGCGCTCATTCTTCCACCCGAGGCCTGCAGAGCGGCCCAACTCTGCAAGCACAGCCCGAGAGCGTCCCCGGCAAAAACGGCAAAGGGATGTGGCTGTGACCTCTGCGCACAGGTCGCCGGTTCCCTTGGTCACAGAGACACAAAGTCCAAGGCCAGGAACAGGAAATCTTGAGCGGGCAATGCAGCTGCTGACCCAGCGGCGCTCGGGGACTTGCCTGCGGGGGTCTGTCACTGGCTCTCAGTCACTGACCTCAGCCTCTGCAGCCTGGGCCGAGGCTGCCTTTGGGAATGGTGCCAGCAAGAGGACTCGTGCCATGAGCCTCACAGGATCTGCCTTTGGAAGGAGAAGTGAGCCAACAGCCCGGTGGCTTGTATGTGTTGGGGTGTGAGTGTGGCTGCAGAGGGCTCTGTGGATCTCGGCTGGATGGATCTCAGCTTTGCCCACTTGGATTCCGGAGCGGTGGCGTGCCAGGTGGGGCTTTGAGCGGCCGCCTCCCCCGCAGCTCACTGTGGCCGAGCCCCAGAGCAGGAGACTGTTGGCAGGGCCCTTGTGCAGGTATGTGCTTGAGAGGAAGCACCCCCCCCACCCCCCCGAAAGCCTTGCCAACAGACTCAGGGGCTTGCTGCATTCTCAGAGTCTGAGGACTGGTTTGTTCTGGAACTCCCTGGGGAAGGCACAGGACTGGACGGGAACTGAGCGCACAGCTGCTCTTTCTAGAAGAGGCAGATGTTGTCTCCGGGGTTGGGAGGAAGGGTTCAGTGGAGTGCTGGAGGCGGGGTGGGAAGGAGGAGGGAGAGAGAAAGAAAGAGAGAGACAGAGAGAGAGAGAGAGAGAGAGAGAGAGAGAGACAGAGAGACAGAGAGAGAGACAGAGAGAGCAAGAGACAGAGAGAGAGAGAGAGAAAGGAAGCGAGAGAAGGAGAGAGTTCTGTGGTTTCCCGGTGGACAGCTGAAGCTGAGATTTAGGACTGGGTTGTTACGAATCTCCTTTTTCTGTCGTTGTGATCACCTCGGGGCTTAGACATGCCAGTCCTGTGCTGTACTGCACATCCCCAGCCCCAGAGATTGCCACTGGCATCGGGTGCCCTGGGAGGAAGAGTTCATGGCGCTAGCATGAGGTCACCGCCCACAACCCCAATTCATTTTTCTTTCTTTTTATTCTCTTCTGGCGCTGCTGCGGATGGAACTCAGACCTTCCCTGGTGTGGCAGTCACTGTGCCACTGACTGACGATCTCCAGCTCACATTCACTTTTTTAGCTTTTTGGGTCACACCCGGTGATGCACAGGGGTTGCTCATGCACTCAGGACTCACTCCTGGCAGTGCTCAGGGGACCCTATGGGATGCTGGGAATCGAACCCGGGTCGGCCGCGTGCAAGGCAAACGCCCTACCCGCTGTGCTATTGCTCCAACCCTCCAGCTCACATTATTTTTTTTTTCTTTTTGGGTCACACCCGGCAATGCACAGGGGTTACTCCTGGCTCATGCACTCAGGAATCACTCCTGGAGGTGCTCAGGGGACCCTCTGGGATGCTGGGAATCGAACCCGGGTTGGCCGCGTGCAAGGCAAATGCCCTCCGCGCTGTGCTATTGCTCCAGCCCCCCAGCTCACATTCTTGATATCTTCCTGCACCCCTTTATTCCCAGGAGCCATCCTGGGTCCCGGAGGTCCTCTTATCAGTGGTCTGTGGCCCCCAGGCTCTCCCCAAGAGTCAGGGACCCCCACAGTGCAGCTCCTTCTTCAGACTGACACTCAGGATGCCCTCGGAGGGACAGGGAGCCAGTGAGGAGCTAGTGATTCCTTCCAGCAAGGGAATCATTGCTGGAGACCCTGAGACTCTGTCTTCAGCTCCTGCTACCTCCCTGCTGGGGCCCTCCTCTTCCTGGAATGTTTCGGTCGCTGTCACTCAGGCGTTTGCTGCTGCTTCCTCCTGCATTTCTTTGAATTTATTTTGCTGTGCTTTGTACCATCCCTCTGCCCCTCTTGGACGTTTTCTTTTCTTGTTTTTCTTTTTTTGCTTCTTGGGCCACACCCAGCGATGCTCAAGGGTTACTCCTGGCTCTGCACTCAGGAATTACTCCTGGCAGTTCTCGGGAGGACCATACGGGAAGCCGGGGATTGAACCCGGGTCGGCTGTGTGCAAGGCAAACGTCCTACCGGCTGTACTATCGCTCCAGCCCCTCTCAGACGTTTTTTTCCTGAGCTCTTCTTTCTCTTGTGGGACTATCCCAGCAGCCTCCTCCTCGCCCTTCTCATTCAGACTTGAGTCTTCTGCCTCTCCTGGGCCAGCGCCCCGCGCTCGGCTGCCTGCAGGGCCCTTGGGGATCTACCATCTTGCAGTGGGATGTGGAGGTTTTCGAGAACACGCAGCATGGGCCAGCTTTCCAGATCCTCCCTTGAGATCTTTGTTTGTTTTTGGTTTTTGGAGCCATACCCGGCTGTGCTCAGGACTGACTCCTGGCTTGTGCTCAGGGTTGACTTTTGGTTGCACTCAAGAAACCATATCTGGAGCTGGGATTAAACCGGGTGAGAGGTGTCAAGGCAAACGCCTGAACTTCTGTACTATCTCTCTGGCCCTAAAATTAAATTTTTGGTTTGATTTATCCTTGATTTATAATCTTACTGATTTTCGGGGACCGTAACATCACACCTCTCACATGTAATAGTGTAACTATTACCATTCCTACCCCCCAAATTCCAGAGCCTCCTGCCTGCAACAAGACCCTCTGTCATTTCTCCCAGAGAAGAAATAATTGGGTATTTAAAACTTGCTTATATTTTTGGGGGGTTTTGGACCACATGAGATTTGTCCTACTTTGGACGAACTGGCAGGCTACCGAATGTAGCCGGCCCACACGGCAGAGTCTGGCAAACTCCCAATATGCCAAATACCAGTAACAATGACGGGTCTCATTCTCCTAAAGAGCCTTGAATATAATCTCAGGGCTAGGATGAAGGAGACATTACTGGGGCCTGCTCGAGGCAATCGACGATTAACAGGATGATTTGTGATTTGGACCGCATCCGTTGTGCTCAGGGCTTATTCCTGGTGCACGCAGGGGGACCATATGGGGGGCTGGGGATTAAACCTGGGTCTGCTGTGTGCAGGCTCCTCAGTGGGTGTTTGTTTGCTTGAGGTGCCAGGATTGAGCCGAGGGGCTACGTAGGTGAGTCTGATGCTCTTCCGCTGAGTCTCTGCCTGGCCCTCTGGAACCCATTGGGGCTAGAGCCTGTTCTTCCCATAATGAACCATCGGTAGCAGGTGATAACGTGTTGTGTTTCTGTTTAAAAGAAAAGTGAATAGGGGCCGGATGGTTCCACAGGCCAGCACTTGCCTCGCCGCGTGAGGCCCAATGTTCAATTCCTGGCACTGCCCCCCACAAAAAACTCCCAAGAAAGCAAAATAAAAAGTTAATAGTAAAATCATAATAGACGTGTTCGACTTATCTCCCACATGCAGTAAAAGGACTAGATAATGGTGTGGGATTTTATACAAAGCCAGGCCCAGGAAGCTGTCAGCAGAGGAGAACAGCCTGTGAGTCAGGATTTAATAGTATTTCAGCCTTGTCCTTAAATGGAAACGTCCTCTCCACGCAGGGAAGGTGGGCAGGGGAGCGGAAAGCGTGGAATCTCTCTGCTCCCTGACTTTGGGGAGTTGGCTCTCCCGCTCTTCTTGCTCCAGATAGTGAGCCGATGTTAGTGGTGTTTGGGGTGCAGGAGGGGAGGAGTTTGGAGGCAGGACTGTGCTTCCCACAGTGCTCCAGGTGGGAAGGCTGGAAGGATGTCTCACTCAGAAGCCTGGTGACCCTTCAGAGTGGGATGCTGGCAAGCGGGGAGGGATTGGGGGGGAGTTACTCCCTAAATACAGACAGGGCTGGGGCAGTGCAGCGGGCAAACTGTCTGTCTTGCCTGCGACCGACGCGGTTCACCCCCTGGCCCCCACGATGATCCCTCAAGCCTGCCACCCGCATCTTGCTGTGGGTCACTAACCCTGCCGCCAGGCTGCAGGGCTGGGAAAGCCAGTCCTGGGCTCTTCTGGGGTTTCCTCTCGGCTCTTTGCCACCAGCTTTGGCCCAGGGGAGAGGCGGGGCGCCAACAGGAGCCAGCAGTCAGGGTGCACTGCAGGCGGGCGAGACGGGGTCAGTATGTCACTGCAGGTGTATGGCTCCGTGCCAGGAGCTTGGTCAGCCCTGGAGGCGGGTTGCAGCCTGCCCAGGAACTGAGGCTCCTGCCCCCCCTCCTCCCTCCCGGGCCTGGGTGGGAGAGTGCAGGGCGCCTGCATACTGTGGGGGGCGGGCAGGGGCAGGCTCTGGCTCAGAAGGGCCCTCCTTTCCCCACCTGCTTGACCCTGGGCTGACCACGCGTCTTCTTGAGGCTTCCCCAGTAAAGTGGGGGCCGTGGCTCCTCCCTCCTGATGTGGCGGCCGGCTTCAGCATACTCTAATCAGTCCTGAGAGCAGCGCCAGCCGGTCCCTCCTCAAGTGAGGGCTGTGGGAACGATTGTTCTGGCAGCTTCAGGGCCTCTTTTTTTTTTTTTTTTCTATTTGGTCCACACCCGGCGATGCACGGGGATTACTCCTGGCTCATGCACTCAGGAATTACTCCTGATGGTGCTCGGGGGACCATATGGGATGCTGGGAATTGAACCCAGGTCAGCCACGTGCAAGGCAAACGCCCTACCTGCTGTGCTATCGCTCCAGCCCTGGGACCTCTTCTTCCTCCCCTGGCTATTCCTTGTGATTCTGGGGCCGTGTATGGTCTCTGGCTTGAGCACCGTTTTGGCAATCTGGAGTGATTGATCCTCAAGCAAGACGGCAGATGGGGCGTGGGATGGGCTGCCCCTTCCCTTCTGACAGGCCCAAGAGACCCAGGCATGCTGCGTGACCTGTCCTTTCCCCTTCTCGCGAGCCAGAGCCCCCATCCTTGTGGCTCATGAACAGACATGGGTTTGGGGGTGCTCGAGGATCAAGAGCAAGGGGGAGGGGAATCACGTTCAAGGGCCAGGACGTTCCCTCTGCCCTGCTGTTCCTCTAGAAGCCCCCTCCCAGCGTGAGTGAGCGCTCACAGGGCCGGGCCTCAGTTTCCCCACTTGTAGATGGAGAGGACGGTTGCCCTGCTTGGTTCCTGTGCTCTGGTGGGCCAGAGGAGCTCAGCCATCACAGAGTGGGTGGGGTTGGGTGTGAGCAGGCAGGTGTCCCCGCTGCCAAGAATGCTTCTGTCTTTGGCCTCATCAATAGGCTTGGTTTGTATAGGACTGCCCCCCACCCCGCCCCTGCCCTTGCTGGAGATTGTTGTGCAGCTCAAGAGAGGGCAGGGGTGAGGAATGAGGCAGGAAGGCCTCTGTGGAGGCCAGCAGTGGGTGGGGGGGATGCGGTGGACATAAAGGGACCATCTTGGTGGCAAGGATTGGCCCCATGCATGGGGACAGCTGGAACAGTGTAATCTGGGCGGGCTGTGTTGTTGGCCAAGATGACAATCGGGGAGAAGCATCCGCCACTAGGATGGGGCATGAGAACGTTCCTGAAGAGGGAGGCCGGTGGGGTCTGAGCTGGGCAGTCTGCACCCCTCGGAAGTCTTGTTTCTGCAGACAAGTGCCCAAGAGGAAGAGGTTAAGGCAGTCAGAGTACCTTCCAGAAGTGGGGAGACCGCCAGGTCCCAGCTGTTCCACCGCTCCTGGGCATTCAGAACCCAAAGCCCAGCCTTCTGTACAGAGTCTGGATGGGGGACGGGCAGGGCCTGTGACCCCAACAGCTGTGTCTTCCCCCAGCTGGTGGCAGCCAGCCACTGTTCCCAGCTACACCCTCAGGAAGTTTGCCGACTTTTTCCTTGTTCCTCTTGTTTGATCCTGGGAACAGGGATTTCTTGATGGAAAGAACAGGTTGCTCCTGGCCAGGAATAAGCCTGCAGCTGCCTGCCCCAGTTCCAGTGAGAATGCACCAGCTTCAACTTGAGTCTGTGAGCTTCTAGAATCTCCCAGCACCTTCCATTTGGCAGCTGAGGGCAGCTAAGATTTGGGGGGCGGGGCTGTCAGAGCTGGGTCTCAGGTCTTCATTTTGGGGGAGTGTGATGAGGATTGACATCCCCCTGGGGGTGATTTTCACTTTTCTTCGAATTTATTTTATTCACTAGACAACTTGTGCCCAAAGACAAGAGACTCAGGGAGTCTGATGCTGCTGTCTGGGGCTTCTTCCTCTCACAGAGGCCCAGGGCTAAGAGGGCAGGGAGCAGCCGAGGATGAAGCCTTGTCCAGCCCAGGTGTCTTATGAATAACAGTCACTTTCACAGAGAAACAGGGCTCCTGAGGAGGGGAGACTAGCACCCCGTCCCAGATCAAGTTAGCGATAGGCCAGGATGGCTCCTGGGTTTATTGTGGGGAGTCCCCAAGCAGAGCTACTGGGCCCGGGGGCCACTCCTAGTATTACTCAGCCAACCAGATAGGACCCTTGGGTGCCTAGGCCAGTAAGTGGTATGCTTCTTGGGCCTACGTAACGGTGCCGGAGTCTTAAGGCTTGCCCCGCTGATGCTCAAGGGCCATGTGGTGGGTGTGTGGAGAGTGTGTGGTAGTTTGGGAACAGTGACAAGCGCTTGTGTTACAGGTTCCCCTTCCAGACTGGGACTCTGGCTGAGAATTCCCAGACACTTCTTCCTTTGGGTGGGGGAAGCTATGCTCCAGCATCCAGACCATCAGGGTCCCTAGCTCTGCGCTCCTTAATGGAACTTGGTTCTTTCCTTCCTTGTGTTGGCTTCTGTCATCTCCTCACCCCACAAAGCCGTGAACCTGCAGTCCATGTTGGGGGCCCCGACTTCGGCAGCCTTTGTTTGGCTAAGTCTGGACATGGCCTGGTACCCGCCTGCCCCTACTCCCTGGCTCAGTGAAGCCAAGTGTTTGGCAAAGCCGGGTCCTTGGCAGTGATCCCTACAGAGCACCTGGGCATCTGGATCTCTGGGTTCTCTACACGGGGGTACCTACTTGCCCTCCACCCCATCGGGCTGCACGTTTTCCTATTGGGAGTCACCCTTGCCCGGGGCGGGCAGGCTGTCTCTCTACAAAGTGCTGGCCCTGGTACTTCAACTTTGTGCCCCCTCATTTTTCCCTGCAGAAGAGGGGCTTGGGTAGAATCTGTGCAGAGAGCCACAGAGCTGGCTGCAACCCCAGCCCACCTGGGTTGGTGCCTCCAAGAGCCCAGGACCCCTGGGCAAAGGGTCGCATCTCTGATGCTGTCTCACTTGTGGTTGGTGTCTGCTTCTCCCCTGCCCTTGCAGGACCTGTGTGGGGCCACCACCTGTGACACTCTGGGCATGGCGGACGTGGGCACCATGTGTGACCCCAAGAGAAGCTGCTCTGTGATCGAGGATGATGGGCTTCCGTCCGCCTTCACCACTGCCCATGAGCTGGGTAAGGGTAGGGGTGGGGAGTGTCCCTCTGGGGTCTTTCTGGGTTGCTCTTGGGGGTGGGTGGGTAGACATATGTCCTCACTTCCCCATGTCTGCAAGCCTTAAAGATCCTCTCTCAGGGGCTGTCGGCCTTAGCCTTGGCTTTGCTTAATCTTTCCCATTGGCTTTAACTCTGTTGGCCAGCAAGTTGGTTTAGGGTTTGGGGTAAGGTTAGGCGTAGAGGTAGGGTTAGGACTAGGTGTAGTGCTAGCGTAGGGGTAGTGCTAGGGTTATTGTAGGTTTAGAGGTTAGAGGTTAGAGTTACAGTAGGGTTAGGGGTTAGGGTTGGGGGGTTTAGGGTTAGGGGTTATGGTTCAGGCTGGGATAGTTGTTAGGGTTAGGGTTTAGGTTAGCACTTAGGGTTAGGTTTAGGGTTAGAGGTTTCAGTTCGAGTTCATGTTATGGTTAGGGTTAGGGCTAGAAGTTAGGAGTTAGGGTTATAGTAGGAGTAGAGATTAGAGTTAGGGTAGGGTTAAAGGTTAGGGTTAGAGTAGACTAGGATCAGGGTTAGGGTTAGGGGTTTGGATTAGGGTAGGGTTAGGGTTAGAGTTAGGGTAAGGGTTAGGATTAGGCTTAGGAGTTAGAGTTAGGAGTTAGGTTAGGGGTTATGGTTAAGACTAGGAGTAGTTGTTAGGGTTAGTGTTTGGCCTAGTGATTAGGGTTAGGTTAGGATTAGGGGTTTAAGTTTGGGTTCATGCTAGACTGGGGTTAGGTTAGGAATTAGTTTTAAGATGACTGATTCAGGTGTGTCAGCCACTCAAGGGAGAGTTAAAGTTAGGTTTAGGGTTATTGTGATGAGTTTGAGTTAGGGTCCATGTTAGGGTTAAGGTCAGGGATCAGGTTTAGTGGTTAGATTAGGATTAGGCCTAGGGATCTGGCTTAATGGTTAGACTTGCACTGACCTACTTAGGTGTGTTCGTACTCAGGGAGGGTGAGTCAGAGTAGACCCTACTCATGCCAGGTAAATTGTTGTACCATCTGTGCAGACCCCCGATGCACACTCACACCTGATCGGCCTTTATGGAACAGTGTGGAGAGGGGTGGCTGTGACCAGCCTGAAATCTGAGGGCTCAGCTCTCTGCTTCCTCAGCCGATCCTCCTCCTCCTTCTGACCCTCCTTAAGCTAGACCACCCTTCTCCTTCTGTCCCCTGAGTCCTCCTGGCTGCCTCCACAGGCCACGTGTTCAACATGCCCCATGACAACGTGAAGGTGTGTGAGGAGGTGTTTGGGAAGCTCCGGGCTAACCACATGATGTCCCCTACGCTCATCCAGATCGACAGGGCCAACCCCTGGTCAGCCTGCAGTGCGGCCATCATCACAGACTTCCTGGACAGTGGGCATGGTGAGCCAGAGGGGCTGCTGTGGGGGGTCTTTGGGGGCAGGGATTCAGCTCTCTGTGCCTGGTCTCTGTGGTACTATGGAGTTGGGCTCTGGATGCCGAGGGCTAGTACAGCTGGTTGTTTGTTTGCCTTGTATGTGGCTGACCCTGGTTCAATCCTTGGCACCACATATCATCCCTTGAACATTGCAGGATTGATCCTTGAGCTCAGAGCCAGGAGTAGGCCCTGAGCATTACTAAGTCTGGTCCTCATACTCCCATCCCCCAAATTATGTTGGGCTCTGAAATGGACCATGGGTCCATTCTCTTTCCCTGGGGCATGCTTGCTGCATTTTCTTGGTTTATGCCAATATGTGCCCTTGCCTCTCTGCAGGTGACTGTCTCCTGGACCAGCCCAGCAAGCCCATTGTCCTGCCCGAGGATCTGCCAGGCACCAGTTACTCCCTGAGCCAGCAGTGTGAGCTTGCCTTTGGCGTGGGCTCCAAGCCCTGCCCCTACATGCAGTACTGCACCAAGCTCTGGTGCACGGGCAAGGCCAAGGGCCAGATGGTGTGTCAGACCCGCCACTTTCCCTGGGCTGATGGCACCAGCTGTGGCGAGGGCAAATTCTGCCTCAAGGGTGCATGTGTGGAGAGACACGACCTCAATACGTACAAGGTGAGTGGGCTGCAGTAGCATGTGGGGGAGAGGGGAGTGGTTTCTGGGGTCTCCACATCACAGGCTTACTATAGGACCATTGTTGGATGGCACAACTGCTCTGTGTCTGTTTTCCTGGTGGTGCTTCTGCCTCCTCCTTGACTCTGAGATCAGAGAAAACACAGGGAAGACCTGTAGGCAGATGGGGCAGGGTCCATCAACAGGAGTGGGGTCCTTGGTCTGAGCTTATTACCTTGTCCTGCCTGGGTGTGGAGCAGTGGCCCCTGAGTGATCCCTTAATCTTTGGAGATGCTCAGTCATTCTTTCTTTCTTTCTTTCTTTCTTTCTTTCTTTCTTTCTTTCTTTCTTTTCCTTTCTTGTGTTTCATTCTGTAGTGATTGTTGATTTTTGCAGCTGAAACATAGTTGAACATAAATTAGAATGTCTTTCTTGATCAATAGGATCAGTCCCCCAGCAGGAATGGACTCAGAGCCTTTCATGATTTCCAAAGGTGATGAAAACATTGTCTGCACCAGGTCCGGAGGTGGAGACATGAAGGGACTGAGGCTTTTCTGGAGTTTTTGGATTTTGGTCAAGTGGGTCTCATCGCCTCCTGGGCCTGGCTAAAGGGCACAGGAGTCTTGTGACCACAGAGGCAATATCATCCGAAAGCTTTCACCAAGGGATTGGAGTGATAGTCCAGTGGGTAGGGCTCTTGCCTTGCATGCAGCCAATCTGGGTTTGATCCACAGCATCCCACATGGTCTCCAAGCATTGCCAGGAGTAATTCCTGAGTGCACAGCCAGAAGTATCTCCTAAGCATCACCAGGTGTGGGTTCAAAACCAGAGAAAAAAGCTTTCACTGAGGCCTGTTCACTTGCCCTGAGCTGTTGGCACAGAAGCCTACAAAGTCTTTATCTGACTCTGGGCATATGTGCTTACTGAAAGCTGGAGCCAGAGAGCAGGCCAGGACCGCCATCCCAGAAGGGGTCTGGGAGGATCACTTAGAATATAGGAACTTGGGCTGCATCTTCACAGCTTACTGCCTGGTGGACATATAAGACATGTGACCGTGACGCAGGTACCATTAGAGGGGGTAAGCGTGTCTCGGGAGAAATGGGCACAAGACTCGGGGGCTTGGTGGACAGAGCTGAAGCTCTGTTAGGCGGGGAGGGGAAGGCTCTGTTAGCACCATGCTGGGGTAGTGGTTCTGGGCCGGATGGCGGCCAACTTGGCCACCAGGTGGTGTGGTCAGACTAGAAGCTTCTGAGAGCAGTCTGGGCGTAGCCAGCTCCTTCTCTTGGGAAGATGAATGTGTCGTACAAAGTGCTTGGTCAAGAGGATGCTGGGTGTTGCAGTTGGGATCTGGGCACCCACGATCTTGCACTTGAGTCCCAGAGTTTCCGCTGACAGCTCAACCCACTGTATCGTCAGCTTCTGTCTGAATTATCCCTTCACTGTGGCGGTCCTTCCGGAGGACACTGCCTTTCTAGAACAACCAAGGTCCAGGTGCAACGCTGACTGCATCAAACCCTGCGCGTACCCTTGGTAGAGTCACGGGAGCCCCATACTGGCCACCAATGCCCGTTTTCCCCAGCTCCCTCTTTGAAAAAACAAGGGCTCCAAAAGGACTCAGATAAGTCTTCAATCCCAGGTGGACCGACCACCCCATGGCCCAACCCTCTTTCCTTAACTCCTCCCTCTCCTGGGGCCTGCACCACCCTCCTTGTTGAGTGAAGATCCACATTCTGTGGCTAAATCACTACTGCTTCTCGTCTTTCACTGGTGCTCAGGGTTGAACCTGGGTTGGCCGCATGCAAGGCAAAGGTCTAACTATACTGTCTCTCCAGGCCCTATTTATTAACTTTTATTTTGGGGCCACATCCAGCAGTGCATAAGGCTTACTCCTGGCTCTGTGCTCAGGGATCACTCCTGGCAGGCTCAGGGCACCGTCTGCAGTGCCAGGGATCGAACCTGGGTCAGCTGCATGTAAGGCAAGCCCCGTATCACACTGTATTATCTCTCAATTCTCTGTACCAGACTTTAAATGCGTTTGTATGTTGAACGCCTCCCAGTTTTTCCTTCTGACCCAGTCCTCTGGCCTGATGCCACAAGGAAAGGTCCTGCCACACCTTGAAATCTCCTTTTGGAGATCTGACCAGCACCATGAATACAACCTAGGCACACCTGAGTCCTTTATCAGACTCACCATCAGAGCAATCAGAGGTACCCTTTGCAGTCTCAGTGAGGGCTGGAGGCCTGCTCAGAGGCCTGAGTGCTTGCCTTGTGCCCACAAGGTCTTCACTTTGGTCCATAGCACTCCATGGGCCCCCAGTCCCTGCTGTGTTAGCCCCGGTGATCACCAGCCCTGCCTCTTCCTAGGCCGGAGCACTGAATGGTCTGACCTCCTTGGTTGAGGATGACTGGGGGTGGCCTCCAGCCCCCCCCCCCGTCCACCCCCCCTCCCCGCACTGCCTAGCAGGCCTCTCCCAGACTGAAAAATAAATTAAAATAAGAGAAAATGCTCATTTCATGCCCGCCCAGAGGCTGCTTGGGGGTTTCCTCCTTGTTTGCATGAGCCAGCCCTCACCTGTACTTACTGATTCTCTTGTTCTCGTGATGCTGGAGTATTCCAAAGGTTTTTTGCACCTGTTCCTCTGCCAAGGCTTCCCTGTCCCTGATGTCTGTATGGGTCACTCCTGTCCTCCAGACCTTGGCCCAGGCGTCTCTTCCTTCCTCAGTGGGACCTCTATCACCCCCCCCCCCCCAATACAAAGCAGGCCCTTCCCCATTCCCCTCTCCTCACCTGCTTAGCACCTTCTCCAAAACCTTCGATTTGAACAAATGCAGTTTTGGTGCATCTGCCCAGCTAGGCTAGACCTGCTCTGAAGGCTGTGCTCGGGACACTAGTGCTCAGGCCATGGACGAGTGACTGGCGTGTGGCAGGAATGCAGTGCACGTTTCCTGTAGGGTCTGTTAGCAGGGGCGAGGCGGGGTAGACACCCAGAGTCACCTCAGAACCTGTGGTGTTAAGCAGGGGGAGCGAGTGGACACGATAGGCCCTGCCTGGCCCTTTCCAGCCTTGCACGGCCTTGCACGGTCCTCGTTGTCCTTCGAGAGGGCAACAGCTTCCAAGGGTGATGGAGCATGGCCCGAGGGAGGAGGCTGTGTAAGGCCCGCAGGAGGCGTGAGGCGAGAAGGGAGCCGGTGCTGATGGGAAGAGAGCAGGAAGGAGGAAGAAAAATTCCAGGCTGGAGCAGATGAAAGAACAAGACTGTAGGGAGGACAGACGCTCTCTGCTCTCTGGGCTGTTCGGATACATTGCTTCAAGTATTTCTGCTCCTCAGCAGGGTCTCCCCTCCCCAACATTCCCCCCCCCCAAACTAATTGAGGTTGTGTGACTTACATATAATGATGGTTTCCCATGGGGCTGGAGCGATAGCACAGCGGGTAGGGCGTTCGCCTTACAAGCGGCCAACATGGCCGACCCGAGTTCGATTCCTCCGCCCCTCTCGGAGAGCCCGGCAAGCTACCGAGAGTATTCGATATGCCAGACACAGTAACAACAAAGTCTCCAATGGAGACGTTACTGGGCCCGCTCGAGCAAATCGACGATCAACGGGAGGGCCTTTACCTTTACCTTACCCATGTGCCACCACACCCATCATCATCAGTGTGTGTACCCACCTCTCTTCCCCAAGAACGCCCTTCTGACATGCCCCCTTCACCTGAACAATTTCGGTTTTTTTTTTTGTTAATCAGTTCTCCCATTTGGTTGCCTTTGGCTCCTTGTTTGCTACCTGGCTGTGTGTCTTTAAGTCCCACATATGAGAGAGGTCATTCTGTATCTGTCCCTTTCGTTCTGTCTGACTTCGCTTAGAATAATGTCCTTTCGTTCCATCTGTGTGTTGCAAATCGCATGATTTTGTTCTTTCTCGGAACTGCATAGTATTCCATTGTGTCTATAGACCACAACTTCTTGATCTGTTCATTTGTAGCTGGGAATTTGAGTTGTCTCCATATCTTGGCTGTTATACTAAATGCAGCAATGGACATAGGTGTGCATATACACTTTTGAATTAATGTTTTTGTGTTTGGGGGATAAGATGCCAAGAAGTGGTATTTCTGGACCACATGGGAGTTTTATTTCTATTTTTAATTTTTTTTAGAGATCCCCATATTGCTTTCCACAGAGACTGAACTAGATGACATTCCCACCAACAGTGGATGAGAGTTCCTTTCTCTCCACACCCCGCCAACACTGGCTCGCGGCCAGATCTTGATAAACTCTTCGTGGGTTAGTCACGGGATGATCGGTGACTGACTTTAATCCCAGGCTTGTTCTCCCAGTCTGCTTCCTCGGTTGCTCAACTGATGTATGTTCAAGGGATTAAAAGCCTCACTTTACTGTCATCATAAGGAAAACATCGGGGAGATTATAAATGTTCTATCTCCTCTCCACCCTCTTACTATTTTTTTTAGGGGCCGGGAATTGAACCCAGGGCTTCATACATGCAAAACATCCCTCTCCACCCTCATAAAAAAATGAAACCAGCAGGACTGCAAAATTTGTCTCAAAGCCAAACAGAGGTTGAGGATTGCTTAACAGTCTTTTTTTTCTTTTCTTTTGGGTCACACCTGGCGATGCACAGGGGTTACTCCTGGCTCTGCACTCAGGAATTACTCCTGGCAGTGCTCAGGGGACCATATGGGATGCTGGGAATCGAACCCGGGTAGGCCGTGTGCAAGGCAAACTCCCTACCTGTTGTGCTTTCGCTCCAGCCCCTGCATAACAGTCTTTTACCTATTTCTCTCCTCTTAGCACAAACATTAGAGCTTCTTCTAGAGAAACTGGTCTCAAATTCAGCCTCTGCTGAGGCAAGCAGACTGAATTTGTGAGCACTCTCCATTGGGAACACTCAGATGTCTTTGGTTATGCAGATTACCAAGAAAGGCCATGCCTGACACGGAGACAGACTCTCATACATTCACTCATGCTCAGTGAGGGGAAATTGAACCTTGGCAAGGTGGCAAGCAGGGCACTAGGGACTTCCGTTCACACGGCAACCTCCCGTCTTACCTCGTGACCCATAATACTGGCCCTGGTTTTTGCAGACCTGAAACGGTTGGAGGTGTCCCTGTTTGCTCAAGACCACCCATGGGAGTGGGGAGAGACTTGGCTGTCTGACCCCACAGTCCTCACTGGTCCCTGGGAACCCTCGAGTGTTTGCACTTGGCCTTTGCCAGTGAATCAGGTCTGAGCTGCATGGCTCTGGGCACACTCCTTGCTGGCTTGGCCTTTTGATGCCCCTGGGGAGGCAAAGTGGATCTCCCGTGGACACGGGACCCGCAAGTGGCACCCCGTGTCTGTGGAGTAGGCTCAGGGTGTGGCTGTGGCACCCTGGCTGCTTGCAGGGGTGTCACTGGCTCTTTCTCGCAGGTGGATGGTTCCTGGGCCAAGTGGGAGCCCTATGGCCCCTGCTCGCGCTCCTGCGGAGGTGGTGTGCAGCTGGCTCGGCGGCGCTGTGCCAACCCCGCGCCTGCCAACGGGGGCAAGTACTGCGAAGGTGTGAGGGTGAAATACCGATCCTGTAACCTGGAGCTATGCCCCAGCTCAGGTGAGAGGCGGGGCCCTGGGGAGTCCACACCTCGACACCCATACGAGTGTGCTCGTCCTCCTGGGGCCCTTTCTTGGGGGTTGTGTACCTCGGGAAGGGTGTCATCTGGATGCTTAGACGCTGGCACCTTACAAGGTCCCTAACGAAGCCCCATCATCATGTTCCTGAGCAGGAACTCCCTGCCCGGGATCTGTGAACTTGAGAGGGAACAAAACGGAACTGCATGTTGGTGCTGGAGAGATAGTTGTAAGGGTTAGTCAAGGCACTTGTCTTGCATGCGATCAGTTCCAGTTTGCTCTCTGGCACCATATGGTCCCCCAGGCATCACTGGGGGTAAGTCCGGAGGCTTCCAGGCATGGCTGCAGTGGCCTGAGTAATCGCAGGCACACAGCCTCAGGCCCTGGCATGGAATCCCTGGTCTGCGGGACTGAGACTCACCAGTGGGAACCCTGGGGGTTCTGGGTACTACTTGGGAGGTGCTATGCCCTCAATTACATGTTTGTGTTTGTAGCACTGTAGCACTGTCCTCCCATTGTTCATTGATTTGCTCGAGCGGGCACCAGTAAGTTTCCATTGTGAGACTTGTTGTTACTGTTTTCAGCATATCGAATCGCCACAGGGAGCTTTCCAGGCTCTGCCTTGTGGGTGGGATACTCTTGGTAACTTGCCGGGCTCTCTGAGAGGGACGGAGGAATCGAACCCAAGTTGGCCGCATGCAGGGCAAACGCCCTACCCGCTGTGCTATCTCTCCAGCCCATTTTTATATTTACCAACAATATATTTTTTGTCTTTATTTATTTATTTATTTATTTGCTTTTTGGGTTCACACCCAGCAATGCTCAGAGGTAACTCCTGGCTCTGCACTCAGGAATTACTCCTGGTGGTGCTTGGGGGACCATGTGGGATGCTGGGGATTGAACCCAGGTCGGCCACATGCAAGGCAAATGCCCTACCTGCTGTGCTATCGCTCCGGCCCCCAACAATCTTTTATTTAATTGTATCCCCTCCAGTTAGAGATTTAAGGTGTTTTTAGAGATCCATCTTTCTGTTTCAAATATCATATTTCGTTTAATACTCATAGTAAATAGAACCAAGTACAGTACTGCCAGCTATGACTTGGCCCCACTAGAAATCATGGCTATTTTCACATAACTTACAATTGACATTTATTCATTTTTTTCTTTAAATTTTTTTGTATCCTTCATTGATGGTTGCCGATTTTCTTAAATCAGGCTAGTTATGCTCGTCACTACTTCAAAATGACAGAGGTTGTTCGACTTGAAATTAGATCTTGATTAAATGCATCAACAAGGACACACACCTCTCCCAAATCTGTTCCAAAATCCGTTCAGACTTGCATATCAATATAAGTGGTATTCTTGGGGGATCTGTGTGGTTTATTTTCTACATTTAAAGACGTTGTGAGAATGATTTTAATGAACTGCTTAGGGGTTTTACATACATATGCTGCTTTGATGGCTGGCATGGATAAATTTCAGGCCATATTTTTAGGATTTCTGGGGCATTTATTGTTCTGTCCTCTGTGTTCTTTGGTTTCAGCATGCTTACTCTCTGGAGATGGGTGTCTTTTTTGTTTGATTTTTTTTTGGGCCACACTTGGGGTGCTCAGAGCTGACTGCTGGCTTTGCACTCAGGAATAATCACTCCTGGCAGACTCAGAGGACTGGGAATAGAATCTAGGTCAGTCGCCTGCAAGGCAAGTGCCCTACCGGCTTTATCCCTGGAGATAGGGTATTTTAGTGATGAGGGTTGTTTGGCTAAGGGCGCTTGGGGGAGTTGTTTGGGGGGATCTCAAGAGACTGAGCACCTGCAGAAGGGATTTCTCTGTGCACCTACCCCTGGATTAGCTTTGCACATGTTCTTCCTCCTCTCCAGCTTCTGGCAAGAGCTTCCGGGAGGAGCAGTGTGAGGCTTTCAATGGCTACAACCATAGCACCAATCGGCTGACGCTCACCGTGGCCTGGGTGCCGAAGTACTCAGGCGTGTCTCCCCGGGACAAGTGCAAGCTCATTTGCCGAGCCAACGGCACCGGCTACTTCTATATGCTGGCCCCCAAGGTGAGCGGGTCCCGCATGGAGGCCAAAGCAGGGAGTGGGTCGCTGTGGGAGCGGCCATTGAACTGCCCCCTCTGCCTTTCTCCCCTGCTGGGGGCACTGCAGGTGGTGGACGGCACACCTTGCACGCCTGACTCCACCTCGGTCTGCGTCCAAGGCAAGTGCATCAAGGCAGGCTGTGATGGGAACCTGGGCTCCAAGAAGAAGTTCGATAAGTGTGGGGTGTGCGGGGGAGACAACAAGAGCTGTAAGAAGGTGACGGGACTCTTCACCAAACCCATGTGAGTACTGGTCATGGGATGGAGGGTCAGGGTGGGGCCGGGGACTGAAGAGGAGAACGGGTTTGCCTCCAGGCATTGGAAACTTGGGTGTGATTGGGGAATGTGCTAGGTTTTGGCCAGGACCCTTGCTCTGGAGGTCACTTACATCTTTCTAGGACTTAACTCATCCCCTCATCTCTTCGTCATCCATCATCCGCCACCATGTGTTCAGCTATCGTTGGTCTATCATCCAATCACCACCATCCATCCATCCATCCATCCATTCCTCTAACCATCCACCCACTCACCATCCATCCAACCATCCATCCATCCATTCTTCTAACCATCCACCCACTCACCATCCATCCATCCATCCATCCATCCATCCATTCCTCTAACCATCCACCCACTCACCATCCATCCATCCATCCATCCATTCCTCTAACCATCCACCCACTCACCATCCATCCATCCATCCATCCATTCATCCAACCATTTACCATCCGAGTACAACGCTTAGCCAAGTACCCAGATATTAAGGGATTTAGGCAATGCATTGCAGGTGATGGACTTTGTTTTGATTCCCAGCAACTATATGTTCCACTGAGCATCATGTGTGCAGACCAGGAATCCGGGAGCACTAACAGGGTTTCCCTGGTAATTTCTAGAACCTTAGGGCCTGAGCCGCACCTCATCCTACAGCCCTCAGGTTGAACCACTGGTCTGGCTTGTCAAGAATCACTGGGAGGGGTTCAGTGATTCTTCTTGGGAACTCCCACCACCATCAATAAAAAAACAATACCTTAATGTTTCACTGAGCATGAAAATGAAGCCTAACTACCCATGGAGGGAAAGTAACAGCCTGGCCTTGGGAGTTTGTCTTGAGGGGGACACAGGAAAACACGGAGATGCCTCCTGTCCTGGCAGATGGGTATCAGGATCAAGCTGAAGATACATCTCTGGGCCCCTTAGTCACCAGCATTGTTGTGACCATTACTGTTATTCTGGCAATCATGGGGGCATGGAGTCAGGCTCTCCCATACACGAAGTCTCTGCTGGACCCTTGACCTACCTCCCGGGTCTTAGGGTCTCTTTGACTGCCAGGAACTCTGACTCAGGAATCACTCCTGGCAGTCTCCAAGGACCATGTGAGGTGCTGGGCATAGAACCTAGGTCAGCTGCATGCAAGGCAAGAGCCCACCTTGCACAGACATTTCCGAGTCCAGCCTGTCTCTTTTCTGCTCAGGTCAGTCTGCTCCTGGGCAGGGAGAGACTGACCACAGTTCCAGGAGAGGCTGGCTGGGCAGAGCCTGAGAGCTCCCTGATACTGTGGAGGGTCCCTTGAGCCCGACTAAGAGTGATCCCTGAGAACAGAGCCAGGAGGAGGTACTGAGCACTTCCATGTGTGGCCCCACGGCAGACAGGAGAAAGCAGGGGGCCAGGTGCTTGGGTCCGGGCTCCCTCTAACACAGTGCCCCCTTTGCCTCTGCAGGCACGGCTACAATTTCGTGGTGGCCATTCCCGCGGGCGCCTCGAGCATCGACATCCGCCAGCGTGGCTACAAGGGACTCATCGGTGACGACAACTACCTGGCCCTGAAGAACAGCCAGGGCAAATACCTGCTCAACGGGCACTTTGTGGTGTCGGCCGTGGAGCGGGACCTGCTGGTGAAGGGCACCCTGGTGCGCTACAGCGGGAGCGGCACGGCCGTGGAGAGCCTGCAGGCGTCCCGGCCCATCCTGGAGCCCCTCACCGTCGAAGTGCTCTCCGTGGGCAAGATGACGCCGCCCCGAGTCCGCTACTCCTTCTACCTGCCCAAGGAGCCGCGGGAGGACAAGCCGGCCCCACCCAAGCCCCCCAGGGACTCCCCGAGGCTCCACAACAATGTGCTCAGCCTCTCCAACCGCGTGGAGCAGCCGGACGAGCAGCCGCCCGCGCGCTGGGTGGTGGGCAGCTGGGGGCCCTGTTCCAGCAGCTGTGGCAGCGGCCAGCAGCGGCGGCCCGTGGACTGTCGGGGTCCCCCTGGCCAGCATCCTGGCGCGGCCTGCAACGCAGCCCACCGGCCGGCGGAGACCCGGGCCTGTGGGGAGCCCTGCCCAGCCTGGGAGCTGGGGGCCTGGTCGCCCTGTTCCAAGAGCTGTGGCCGGGGCTTTAAGAGGCGTCCACTCAAGTGCACAGGCCCTGGCGGGCGCCTGCTGGCCCGGGACCAGTGCGACCTGCGTCGGAAGCCCCAGGAACTGGATTTCTGCCTCCTGCGGCCCTGCTGAGGGGCAGCCTTGTTCCCTTGCAGACTCTGTGCCCCGGCTGCTGCTGGGGACCCTAGGGCTGGCCAGAGCCACGTGCAGAGGGCAGTGACTGGGGGCCACGGTGTCACCCATCTCCAGGGACAAGGACTGTGGTGCGGTGAGAGGCCCCTTTCTCCCGGGCCACGTGGGGGCTGCCAGGAACTCAGACACAGTCTACCTCACGCCCGACTCCTCCGGGGCCCAGGCTCGGGCGAGGCTGAGGGTGGCGGCGGCGCTGGGGCAGAGCGTCTGGGCCCAGTTCCAGCAGGACCTGGAGGACGGACACTCCCAGGTGGGACTTCAGGGACCTGGGCCCTCTCACACCTGGCACGGGAGGCTCCAGGCTGCTGGCAGAGCCGGGACCCAGCAGTGCAGCGCCCTCAGGGCCGTCTCTGAAGAGCAGAGGGTCAGGGGCAGTTGTCTGGCCCAGGTGCTCTTGTGACTTGTGGGTGGACATAAATCCAGGGGCCTGCAGGGGCTGGCTGGGGTCACGCTGAGGAGAGTGAGCCTCGAGGTGTCTCCTCTTCTGTCCATGCCAAGCCCTCTGCTCCCTGGATCCGTGGCCCCTGGGACATGGCGGGGGTGGGGACCGGCCTGCACACGCAGGGGGCTGTGTTGGCTAGTTTTAGGGGCTTGCCAGGGCTCTACTGTCTTCTCAAGGGATCCGACCATTATAGACAAACCGCATGGGGGGCCCCGGAGGGGGATTGAGAGGCCCGGGAGGTGCTGCGTTTTGGGGGGCTGACGGGAATGGGGGTGCGGGGGTGGCCTTTTTCTCTGCGGCACCTCAGAGACCCTTCAGGTTCCCACATGCCCGATGCCCGAAGGTGTGGGATACCCCCTCCCCGGCCCCCCTCACAGCTTCTGCAGCTGGGGGTCACTGTTTGCTACCTCAGGCTCTGCTCGTCGGGACGCCATGCTGTTCCGGCCCCCCGGGGTGTGGGGACTCTGGTGCTCCGGGCAGCCCCCACTGGCTACTGTCCTTCGCGTACTGAGCAACACTTGGCGGCGGGGCAGTGGGGCATGGCTTCCTGCCCCCCACCCGCCCTCACCCGCGGGGGCTCCAGACACGCACACAGGGTCTCTGTCCGAAGGTGCTTGGGGACAGGCTTGGGGAGGAGCCCACATCGCCTCCCCCCACTCAGGGACCCTTGGCAGCCCCAGCAGGTGCTGCCGGAACCTTCCATCTGGGTCATGGTTTAGGGGAGCAGAAGCCAGACAGTCTTTGAAAGCTCTGAGGGGGACATTGTTGGGGGTTGGAGGGTCTGTGGCCCGGGGTTGCACCTGGGGGTCTGTCTGGGGGTGGGGGTGGTGGGACCTGGGCTTCCGAGTGTAGGGCCCTGTGGATGGGCAGTGCCCTCTAATTCATTTTCAGACAAGCAGCCTCTGGGGTGGGGTTTGTCCCTCAGGGGCCCAGGGCACGTGGGTGCTGGACCAGCCTGCATGTCAGGGCCAGCAGGGTCCTCAGGGAGCCCCGGCACTGGGGGGGATCTTTGACGACAACACTGTGCCCCGTGCGTGGTGCCCCCATCCTCGGGGTGCAGGGCGCTGTGTGGAGGGGGCATGGGGTGGGGGCAGTGGCCCCGCGCTGAGTGGCTTTATAATCCTTCAAGGACGGACAACCAATCGGGTTCTTACATTTGGGGGGTGCGGGGTGCGTGGAACCCAGGGCCTGACACACCAGGAGTTGTGTGCCCTAGTTAAGCCCCCTCCCATCCCCCAGCCCCCGATCTGGTTCTTGACACAAGCTGGGTCTCCATGTCCTTTCCTGTCACCAGGGTTTTTTTTTTTTTTCCTTTGAAAGATGTGTGGCCCAGACTCTATGGCCTGGCTCAGCATAGCCCGTTTGACGTGTCCAACCAGCTCTCCAAAGCTGAGCCCAGGTCTTGGGTGCTGGAATCCAAAATGTAAGGTGGTCTCTCATGTCTGAGGAAGAACGTTCTGGAAGGCATCGGTAACTTCTCCCAGGGGCTGAGGACCAGGAAGGACCCTCCTCCACGGCCCTTTATGTGCACTGATTGGAGGAGACCAGCTGACAGACCTGGAGGCTGGAGTTGGGGCCAGGGGGTGGGGTGGGGAAGGGGGCTTGGGACGGGGGAGCGGCTCGGGTTGGGGGAGGGGCTCCGGGAGTTACTGGACACACGTGTGAGTGGAGTTCTCGAGAGTTGGGTTCTTTTGCACTCCACGGGCTGCAGAAGAAGCACGGACCTGGGTTCTGGCCGGATGTGTATACTGTGTATACGCGGGAGTCGGCTGCTGCGGGGCCAACAGCCCACTCCTAATAAAGTGCCATGGATTGAACACGCGTCTCACCTCACACTCATCTGCTTGCGTGTCCCCCACTGCTCAGCACCCCAGTGCCCAGGGCTGTGTCCACACATGCCGCCGTGTGCAGCGCATCAGGGGACAAGAGTGCTGAGTGCCTGGAGGTGCCCAGAGGATTCCCAGCAGGGGAGAAGGGCTCGGGGCTCGTGGGGGCAGCGTGATCAGGGTGCCTGGGAGAGGCGGTGCCCCTGCCCTGTGGAGTGGGGGGCCCTCTGAAGAGAAGCCGCCGCCGGGCTGTAAACATGAGCAGCTCCACCATCCCCAACGTGTCGTCAGAGCTCAGGATCATGCTTAGGCTGACAGATCAGGATACGGCAGCGGGTGCCCACAAAGGTTCGCAAGGAGGCGTGGGTAGGGAGGTCCCTGCACAGGAGCTTCTGTGCCCTGGGGGCTTGGGGACACCCACCAACCCAGAAGTCCCTGAACACTGTTGCTGAGGGATTTTGTGTTTGCTTTTGGGCTGTGACTGGGGATGCTTGGGGGTCACTCCTGGCATGGTGCTAGGTGGACTGTGTAGTGTCGGACTAGAACCCGGGACCCCCACATGCGAGCACATGCTCAGCCCCAAGAACTGGAACTCTTGATTGAGACAATGACTTATGAAGTTGTCATTTGTCTCTACAGAGAAAATGTACCTAGACAAGCTCCCGAGAAACCACAAAAGAATCTGGAAACGGCAAAGTGGGATTCCCCCACTTCAGTGCCATCCACCCACCCATATTGCTGAAATAACCCCCGCCCAGCCCCATAGGACTTCTAGAGAATCCCTAACTGCTTCTAGAGAAGTTTGGAAGGAGCTGGAATTCTGTGTGACTTGGTGACATGTCCTTAAGTAATTTTCCTAAATGTACCCTTCCTCCTCTGCTTTCTTAATTTAATTTTGCTACAAAAGATAGGAAAAGATTGGTGGCTGTCACACATGGAATTTGTATTTAGTGACTTGCAGGAATTTTCTCCTTCAAGGGTCATGTTGGGGGTCTTTATAGAAGAAGCCTTGTCTGCCTGAAGTCAGGGCTATATGCTTGGGCATGTTATACAGGCCGGATTCCTCAAATGTGACTTCTTGTCAAATGAGCAGTAACTTTCATGTTCTAGTTTCATCCATGTTATCAGAGCATTCTAAGTTGTCTCACATCAAGTCGGTACTTCAATCCTTCACTGGTCTTCTCCTGGATCCAATGGGCTTCTGGTTCTCCCTTCCATGATGCCTCTTACTCGGCATTTTAGCAAATGCCTAAATTTAGAGACCCAGGAAGCTGTGCTGCCACCTCACGGCCATTACCCTGAGTTTGCAACATGCCTCCAGGAGTGACTGAGGGGGCAAAGCCAATGTCTCCGCCACCTTGCAGAATTCACCCCAGCTCTAGTTTCTGGATTTTCCTGGCACCCTCATCTCTGAAGTGTGTTGGAGCCAATCACGCTCTCTGTCCCAAGGCTTCTCCTTTGAGGATGGGCAGGGGCTGCCACCCTTCTGCCCCATCCTCACACAGTCTTGCAGAGTCTCTCACTAGAATAAAGACCTTCCCACCTCCCAGGGAGCTCTGAGGGGTTTCAGAGCCCATCCCGGGAGGGGGACATAGTCTGAGGATCAGCAGGAAGGTGCCTCCAGCCCGCAGGTGCTCAGGAGGGGAGCCGACGCCAGGGCTGTGTCGGAAGCGGGGTTGGAGCCAGAGCACGAACACTGGCTTTGTGTCACAGAGGGGCCACTGGGGAACAAGGATGGTTCCCCCTGCAGCTGAGACACAGGGGGGCTGTGGGGTCAGGGGGTAGCTCCCCGGAAACCTCAGGCGTGACAAACCTGCCTGTGCGACATGGGCATCTGTGTGTGCATGCATGTATGTATATGTGCGTGTGTGCATAGACGTGTGCATGCATGTAGATGTACACATATGCATAGTTGTATGCATACCTGGGCATATGTGTATACACATATATGGGAATGCTTTTGTGTGCACACGTGCATATGTGTGCAAGAACATGTAGGCATGTATGGGTGTGCACATATGAGCATAGATATGTGTGGATGTATGTGTGAGCATAGGGGTGAGTGTGTGTGCATGTATGTGTGTGTGTGTGCACAAATGCATGCTTCCTATGTTGCTTGTTATTGCTCATAGGTGTGAGGGTCACCCCCTGCAGTGCTCGGGGTCCTGGGCTATACCTGGTGGTGCTGGGAATAGAAACCAGGGCCTTGAACATGCAAAACATGTGCTCCTTCCCTCAGCTATCCACACTCCAGGGTCCTGCCCGTGTTCCTGACTTTCAGAAGGATGAAGAGGGTCTCATGGCCCTGCAGGTCTTCCCAAAGAGGCCTGAAATGCCTATGCAGAAGAGAAATTCATTTCTGTCCTGAGAAAAAACAACCTGTACGTCAGCCCCTGCTCACGGCCCACTGCTGTACTCAGCAGGCTGAGCTGGCATGGCAGGGCAGCGTGTGTGACCCCAAGTGTCTTGGCTTCTTGGCCTGTGCCCAGTCCTGAGGAATGAGTCAGCTCTGAAGCCCATGATCCCAGCAGCAAATCCCAGAAGGGTGGGCTCCCCCAGGCTCGGCAGAGGCTGCAGAGTCCCCCTGGCCCCCACAGCTCAGGCATGGCCCAGCTCCCATTCCCGAAGCTCCAAGGAGACGATGGGTGCCGCTTGTGTGCTGTGCCAGGACTCAGAACTCACCACCCTTGATATTGGGAGGGAGTCTGCCTTGTCCTTCCTACCTACCCCATCCCCCGCCCTGTCCTGCCCTCGGTCACCCATTGGAGGCAGGGAGGCAGGCTGGGAGGCAGATCGAGTTCCCAGCAGCTGGCCCTTCCCAGGGAGAAGCCAACAGTTCCCACAGGAGAGTGGTTTGGGCACAAGAACACAAGAGAGGGAGAGCCAATGAGACATCCCTGGCCACAGAGTGAGGGACGGCTACTCTTCATGTTGTCTTAGGATTCAAAGGGAGAGCTGCCAGGCTTCAGAGGGCACGGTGGCCCGCCCTGTCCTGTTGACCCCCACTTC